ATAGGCATTCATAAAAAGCCAAACCAGTTGCCATGGAGTCAATTCCAACTCATAGTGACCCTATAGGACAGGGTAGAACTGCCCCGTAGGGTTTCCAAGGAGCAGCTGGTGGTTTCGAACTGCCGACCTTTTGGTTAGCAGCTGAGCTCTTAACCACTGTACCACCAGGGCTCTAGGGGCATTCACAGATAATATAAATTAGACATTGAGATGCCTTTGCAGGAAGATGCAATGAGAGACAATTTCATATTGTTACGAGAGGGTAAATCATTGCAACCCTTCCAGAAAACAAATTGTTAGCATATAGTAATAGCCCTAAAAATGTTCACATATTTTGATTCAGAAATTTCACTTCTAGGAATCGAACTTAAAATATAGTAAATATTTAGAGATGCAGAAATTTTTATGTAAAAGTATATTACTGCAGTGTCAAGAATAATAGTAAAAAATTGAAAGCGGTCTAATATTCAGCATTTAGTGAACAGGTAAATTATGATGTGTTCACAGAATGAAATGTTATACTGACCAAAGATCACATTTCAAAGAATATTAAAAATACTAAGTGGCAAGGGTAAATTTTCCCTAATATAGTTACAGATTAATAACAGCATGCAAAATTCAATTAAAGTTTAATCCTAACATGGAAAAAAAATGTGTATGTATGTACTCCCATGTTCCTCTCAGAGTAGTGGATATATCAGTAATTTTTGCTTCCTTTCTTCAAAACTTTTTGAAATTTCTTAAAAAATCTTCTAAAAGTAATATTAGCTTTATTGTTTGAAAAGGCATTTAAATTTTTTTTAAAAAACCACTCTCATCTGCCACCAAAAAAATGCACCTTCAGCAAAATTTCTCCCCCATCTGTTTATGTAACGATAGAAATTCCAAAGCCAGAAATTCTCTCCTTATGTGTTTGACTTCTGAGCTTCTTGATATGGTTGGAGTTTAAAAGTTAACGTTTAGCACAGCATGCATACGGAAATCCCTGGATGAAAAACAGCAGGGCCTTCCAAAAGACGAGCAAGAGAATAGGGGAGAAAACTGCCGTATCTATGCACTGTTTTATGTGAGTTTTTAAATCCTGACTTCATGGCATAGTGGTTAAGAGCTACAGCTGTTAACCAAAAGGTCAGTAGTTCAGATCCACCAGGTGCTCCTTGGAAACTCTATGGGGCAGTTCTCCTCTGTCCTATAGGGTCGCTATGAGTTGGAATCAACTCCATGGCAACGGGTCAGTATGTAGTTCATGTGAGATCAAAGCAAATACGATAAGCTTTGGTCATTGTTACTGTTTATTGAGTATCTCCTTTTACACATCTCAAATAATTTTCACAAATGTTTCATGAGCTAGGATTTATTATCCCCATTATACAAATAATGAGGTCGAGGTTTAGGTGTTAATTGACCTGACTTATATCTGAGGCAGAACCCATTAAGAGGCAAAACCAGGAATCTGACGACCCCAAAGCCCATGCTCCTTCGACTAGCCAGCACA